TATTACAAATATTTGCATTCACAACAAAACAAAACTGGTTCATTGTGTGGTATTGGTTAGTCTGTAGGATAGCCAGCAATGGACAAGAAGTTGCACATTACAAGGCTAATGTCAAATGGGTAAATCTGACATTGGAGGTCCTACTGCTGGTGAGTTGTCGAAGACATTCCCAGCGCCCAGATCACAAAGAGGATGCCTGTTGGTCCCTATGCAATCGCTCCCTCTGTAGCTGAGGCAGTGAGGTGTCACTCCCATAGATGAGAGATTCAGCAGCATTCAAGCCAGTGACAGAGCAACATCTCGCTGCATCAAGCTACAGAGGGAGCAATTCCATTGGATACCTAGGCACAGCGACGGACTGACCATTTGGAAATTTGAGCACTGCCCGAGGGCCCGGGGTCAGTAGGGGGCCCCATGAGATGCCCCTGGTACCTTTTTCATAGGCTTTTTTGAGTTTGGGCAAGGACACAGGGGCCCCATGATCCCCTATTGCCCGGGGGCCCCATGAGTTGTCAGTTCGCTCCTGCACAGGCAGACTCTTTGGTGAATGTGCCACAGGCGATTTGTCTCTAGTGGCAGTAGTATCGGGACCGGTTTGTTCAGTGCTCAGGGCAAGGATGTGGAACTGCACCCCCTCCCTTGCTCCTAATACATGCAGTAGAATGGGTACTATGCTGTGCCCATTCAAAGCCCCCTTTTCACCAGATGTCCATGGTTGCTCTGGAGTGTTCACTACATGTTGCTTGCTTTCTAACAAATAGAAGAAAGTGGCCTATACCTGGTGTGTTTTCTATGTCAGCTGTGGGCAGATGGGGTTTAGAGTAGGCAGTTGGATCATATGTGGCATCAATAGTTGTCAGAATAGACATGAATCTGCACCCTGCTGGTTGTTAACCACTGAACTGGGGATTGCACATGGTGACGAGGTGCCCTCTCTTCCACTGCGCCCTGGGCGGCAGCCCATCCTGCCAACCCCTTTTCCTGGCCCTGAGTGGCAGAATCGCCTAAAGCGTTAATTATTACAGTGGCATGTTCTGGTAAATTGACTTAAATACACTACAGAAAAAAAAAATCAGCCTGGTGTTCTCTTTTGGGGATTTCAGTATGGCACAGGTTTACACCTTCACTGTTAGTAAAATGAAAGTGGTATATAACCCCAAAACTAAAATTTTTAAAATATTGCAGTTTACCAATCCATAAATGCGGTGGCTGCATTTGTTTTATTTTTTCAGCTTCTTTTCCTCTTCATTTTAATCTGCTTTTAAGACTTATTTTTTTACTTCCTTTAAGCTATCCAGACATAGTGGCAGTTTGAGGATTGATATGAACCAACCATTTAACACTGACAGGGGTGCTTACAATGGTAATTTTTAATTATTTTATGTAAAACTTTTATCCCAAAAGGAAAAAGGAAATGCTGTAACTGCTTAAAAGTGTGAGCTGGAGTTTGGCTTCAGTTGTTAGTGTATTTAAATCTGGTAGTTCATCTAACACTCCACTCCACCCAGACTGATAATGCTGCTGTCTGCTGTGCCCCTTCATCCACATTGGCGGTAATACAAGGAGGTATGTTACTGGCCAGATAACCAGGTGAAAACAGAGGGAAGAAAGCCTAAAAAGAAAATGAATGCAGCCACTACATTTAAAGTGGTATTAAACCCAAAAAGCAAACATTTATTATATTGTAGATGATCAATTCTTAGATATGATGGCTGTATTGATTTTATTTTTTAGGCTTTCTTTCTTCTGTTTTCATCTGGTGATCTCTCCAGCAGAATGTATCAGCGTACATGGATGAGACAATTAATTTTCCACTGACAGGGGTGATAAAAATGATCAGCTTTAATATATCCATGTAAAAACCTTTACCCAAAATGAAAAAAAAAATGTTTGCTATAACGGATTATAAAGTGTGAGCTAGAGTTTGCCTTTGATTTGTGTTTTGTATCTAAACTCGCTACCCTCACAGACTGACAATGCTGCTGTCTGCTGTGTCTTGTTCTCATCCTCCAAAGTGGTGTCTCACTAACACAGGAGGCGTGTTACTGGTTAGATCTCCAGGTGAACAGACAGAGAAAGCCAAAGAAAAAAACAAAACAAATGCAGCTATCGAATCTAATGATTAGTGAGCTGTAATAAAATACGTTTTTGGTCTAATATTTTAAAGATTGGAAAGCTGTAATATATTACATTTTGGTGTTTAAAAATGCTTTAAGTGGCAAGGTAACTCAGGCACAATGTAATTAAGCCACCTGCTTGGTGTTCTCATTGGTGGATTTCAGTATGGTACAGGTGTTCACTGTCACAGTCAGTCAGTAAAATGAATCTTTCAGTCTGGGAGTATTAGGAGACACATTTCTTTGTAATTCCCTTCCCCAATCTTTCCTGTAGGTGGCAGCCTTCCCCAGCCCACAGAGCCTGCCTTATCGAACTCTAACAGCCCCTTATCTCTACAGATGCAATTAAACAACAGTGCAAAAGCAAGTCCAAACAAACACATAAAAATAATAATAGTGTTCCTTCCCTTAAATAAACAACCTAATGCATGAAAATATCTGACACTAAAAAAAAAACATTGATTCTGCAAAAAAAAAAAAAAAAAAAAATCCAAAAGCAGAAAACAAGATGCAACCCTCAATGATAAGGAATATTTAAGCCAGGCACCTATTACAGATGGACATAATAAAAAGGATTACTTACTTGGTTTAATTCAGTCGTCTGAAATCCGCAAGTGAAGTTCACAAAGTATCCAGTGTCTTTGTTTTCCAAGTAAAACTTCAGTAGGGTTAAAAAATGTACAAAACCAAAAGAGCTTCTAGCCTGTGTCCTTTATAGCAGAGGTCTGGATAGAGGAGCTCCTAGGATCTCCTAATAAAGGATGGATTGGCTGGAGCCCAGGGTCAGGGGATCCCATCCTGCCTGTAGCTGTGCCATCTCACCTATTCTTCTGGCTGCTGCTTTGATGCAGTTGAAACGCATGCACAGGAGATGAAGATTAGCACTTGTCTAGGCTGCCTTTGCCTTGCATTGACTTATATGGAGTCTGCATTTCTCTCAGCTGTGAAGTGTACGCCTTTCTTTGGTGAAATCCCTTAGGGTATCCCTTCATGCTGTTTTGATCTCTCTGCTTTCCCAGTCGATTATCTTCTTCTGCCACTCTCTGAGTACTTCTCTATCCTCCCACTGAAGCTCCTCCACTGTGTCTCCCCCATTGCTCGATGATCACTTGTTCCTGATTTACCAGCACTCTCTGCCTGCCTGGTGTGTTTTTCCTGCCTGTCACTCTCAGACAGGTCTGCCAAGATACTTGCAGGCAGAGAAGCTGACAAAAAAAAAAAAAGAATCCAGATTTTAATCAGGTCATTGTTATTTCACAGAATCCCTTTACAAAAAACTCCTCCACTGTGTTGCTGTGATAAAGGAGGAAACGTATTGGAATAATGAGATTCCTCGCAAGTCAACTTGATTTTTCTTTTTTAAGAAAGACGTCTAAAATTGGAAACATATAAAAAGGGAAGATATGTCGATGTGTTTTCAGCATTTTAGTTAGGAACTCTGAAAATCCTCCTTGTGGTGGGATTAACTGCTTGCTTAGGTCTAGGAGAGGGTACAAGTACTTTTAGTGCTAGTCCACATGTGAGATTGGGGGCAACTGCTCCCAATCTCTACCCCCAACTGCTCCCTCTTTAACTGCAGAGGGGATGTACACATGCCATGGCCACAATGTTTTGCTGCATGGTCACAGCAGGAATTATACCCCCTGTAACAACCCATTTGAGCAGATGGGGACGTACTGCAACAGCCCTGCAAACACATGACTGAAGCAAGGTAGTTCGGCATTTAGGCGGTTAAATCAGGCAGTGAGAAGGCAACATACTGTCTCCTCATTGCCTGTGAAACACCACTGAAAAGCAATCCCAGCACAGAATGCTTTTCATATATGTAGAATCCCTTGTGAACAAGCCCTAACCTACCCAAGCCTCCACTTCCCTGGCAGATGGTGCTCCCGACGGCAGACTTTCTCTGAGCATCATCATGTCCAATGCAGTGCTATGGACCCTGTATTGGTCTAGATGACATTAGGACCTAAAAAGAAGTGCGGGATCCAAAATAAACAAACATTTATACACACCTAGACTGTCGCAGCACCAATGTGAGCTACAGCTGTCCCCTGCTGGCTCTATACTGGGAACTGAGCAATCAAAGGCTGCTGATCGCTCAGGTCTGGGGATTTTTTAGGTTTCCTGGACTTCAATTTTGAACACATGAATGTAAATTGGCCCTTAAAATAAAACTAAACTTTAAAGATACTTATTTCCTCTCAAACAATCTGACACTGCAAGGTCCTTCACCAGGTCTCTGGCATCCGCGAGGTCAATGGCATTTTCTCCATGGCTTCTTCTGAGTGCTGGGTTTTTGGCTGGGAAGACTGCGAAAAGGCAGGTAGGGTTTTTTGGTTTGTTTTTTTTTTTATTATTTGCAGAGGAGACATAGCATGCCTCTTCTGCAAAAAAAAAGTGCAGTTCAGTTTGAAAAATGTCTGTTTTTTTTGCCTTTCAACGCATTGGAAAGCCCATAGAAGTCAATGGTATTACATCAAAACACAATTTACAATTGAAAACTGGTATTAGCAAGTCTTGGTCACTGGCTGTTAACTCTATCCAAATTCAAAATTGTATTGAAAATGAGTGCAAAAACACGTCAACACACAAAGTAAACACACACACAACACACAACTACCTTACACTACCAAAAAAAACACACTTCTATGCACACAAGCAGTGTACATTAAGGATGAGCTCAATGTTCAGTACAAACACAGGTCCAGATATAACTTTGTTTAGTGTTCTTCTCATTGTCTGACCTTTTGCTTGTTCGGCAGGACCACTATATCTACCACTACTATATATGACAGCTTCCTGTAAATGGTTGTTAACATGAGGGGCGATCAAAGGGTTAATTGTGTGTAGGGAGTGTTTTGCTAGGGGGCCGTGTCAGTGTGCTTCACTGTAAGCACACTGCTTTGGATAGCTGTTCTGTGCACAGCCATCCAAAGCAGTGTGCCCCAACTGACAGGGAGGAGAACTGTTAGTAAACAAAACAGTCCTCCTCCCCGTTGGAGATGCTCGGTAATCAGTGGGCGCAGGGCGTGACTGACAGCCGCGGCCGAGAATGGCAGAGCAGGTAGGGCGTGCTCGCGGCTCGCGGACGTCCCCTACCCGGAAATGCAAAATCACATATATATATATATACGTGATTTTGCGCACCCATGCCACCCTGTAGCAGTATTTCTGCTATTGGGCAGTCGGGAAGCGGTTAACCCCTTCCTGCCCAGTGCCATTAGTTCAGGGTCAGTGCTTTTTTTTTTAGTACTGATCACTGTATTAGTGTCACTGGGGATGTCAGTGACACCAAGTCAGTTCCCCCCAGTGTCAGAATGTCCGCTGAAGTCCCACAGTCCCACTATAAGTCGCTGATCGCCGCCATTACTAGTAGAAAAAAAAATATTCAAGTATCTATACCGTCATCTGTAGACGCTATAACTTTCACATAAACCAATTAATTTGCACATGTTGGGATATTTTTTTAGCAAAGACATGTAGCAGAATACATTTTGGCCTAAATTTATGACGAAATTAGATTTTTTAAATTTTTTTACTGGACATATCTAATAGCAAAAAAATCTAAAATATATTTTTTTTCTCCAAATCGTCAGTATTTCTTTATAGCGCAAAAAATAAAATGCACAAGTGATCAAATACCACCAAAAGAAAGCTCAGTTCGTAGGAAAAAAAAGAATGTAAATTTCATTTGGGTGCAGTGTTGCATGACCGCGTAATTGCCAGTTAAAGTAATGCAGCGCCGTAACACAAAAAATGGCCTGGTCAAGAAGGGGCATAAATCCTTAGGAGGGCAAGAAGTTAAGGAATCAGCAGGTGTCTGCATCTGCTGCATCTTTAGCATCAAGTGCCACATCTATTTGCAAGTCTATACATTTCCATTAAAGCCAAGAATACAAGATTATTATTATTATTATACAGTATTTATAAAGCGCCAAAGGGTATGGTCAGCACTGTACAGTAGCAAGGGGGACAGAACATGAGACAAGACAGTAACAATACAATAGATGTCCTCTGACTGTTGGAAACCAATGACCAGGCAACTATTCAATGCATGTTGCCTGATTTTCCAATATTGCTTGCAGGGCAATAGTAGAAAGCACCGAGTTACCTCTTTCTTTTCTTTGATGTAATTTAGCAAAGATAAACAGAAAAACTAAAGTTTTAAAGCTGAACTCCAGGCTAGAACAAGAAAATACCCTTACAATGGGGTCCCCCTCCACTGCCATGGGTTAAAAGTGCATAGTTTCTAGGAAGTGACGTTAGAGGCAGTATCACTTACCCTATTTCGCATTTACAACAGGCTCCAATGCTGCTTCTTCTCCATGAATCTCCAACCTGTGCATCATCATTTACAATACAAGGGTATTATCCTGGCATTGTATGCGGTGAAGGTGAACATGCAACCACGGCTGTGAGTGGCTTATTGAGGAGGCTTTAGAAACCCAGTTGCACAGATAAAGGAAGCCTGCTGGAGCACAGAATAAGTATTTTTCCTTATTTTGGCACTCCCAGACAGAATGAGCATTTAACCCTTGCAGTGCAGTGGGTGGCTTCTCTCTGAATGGGTATTTTCTTTCTTTCTTTCTTTCTAGCCAGCTTTAGGCCCCTTTCACTCCATCTGCGATCTGTTTTCTGATACCCACTGAGAAGGCAATTGACAGGTTTGTGTCATTGTACTCAGCCCCTCTCCTCTATGGGTGGTCAATGGACGTGGACACAGCCCACTCTCCTTTATGGGTGGTCATCAAACATGGACACAGCCCGTTTTTCTCTATGGGTGGTAATCAGACATGGACACAGCCCGCTTTCCACTATGGGCGGTCAGATGTAAATGAACTGCCTGTCCATTTACACCCAACTGCCATCTGATCCAATCCAGACAGACGGAGGGGAACGGATCCACAGCTGTTTGTTTTTAGTGGATTAGATTGGATGTAGGTGGGTGTAAGCAGACATGTCTGTTTACCACAAACAAAAGATTTCCCAGCACACTTACCAACCTGCCTGCAAAACAACCAAACTCACCCTGTCTAACTTTTAGCATTAAAAACAGAGGGTTTTGTTTGCACACAATTGCAAATTCGTGTGTAAGCCGTACTCCCGAGTCAAGGGTCCTCTGTAAACTGCAGTCCTAACTCTAAAATTTCCAGAGCCTCCGTAGTGGAAGCACATATTAATGGATAGGTTGAGGGCAGGTGTGCCTACAGGGAGCCTTCTTTAAAGGCACAGGGACTCACGTAATGCCCAGCTACCAAAATGACAGCAAAGGCATACAATGTGTCCCTGTACCCAAATCAGCCAACTGTGTAAAAAAATGTACAAAAAAAAAAAAGTCTGTTTACATGTGCCACTCCTTAGACAAGAAAAACATACAGGTAGACCCAATCAGTCATGGGAACAGGCCTTATACTGTGCCAATCACTTTTTAAAGCCCTGTGCACACGGGGCGAATATTGGCCGGTATTGGCTGGATCAATAGAAACCAGTCGACATTTGGCCCATGTATGCACCCACAGGAGGCCGGCTTCTGTCAAACGGGCATGCTGGAAAACCAGCATCTGATCAGCATCAATGGCTGCCAGTGCTGACCAGTGTGTTCTAGTGGTGGTGGTGGGGGGGTTTGCTGTACTATCGTCGACTATAGTACTACAGCGAGTGCCTCCCGAGCTGTTTTTATTTGCTCAGCCTACTGGGTTGAACAAAAAAAAAAATTATAGTGTGTACCCAGCTTAAGAGGCCGTGGTTAACCTGCTAATTACATAAATATGTTTCTGATTTTTATGATGACTTGTTATCAGGCCATGTGGGAAATTTGAGCAGGCAATAACACAATGATTTTCCATGAGTGAAATAGATCCTTCCTTCTGCTATGGAATATAAAGGAGGAATCACAGTACAAAAAGTGTGCTGTTATCACCACATAGAAAATATTGCAGAGGTTCATTCCTGGCACTCAAGTGATTTGTTAAAGAACAGGGCTAGTCAGGGCTGTATCTGCCATCTTATGGCTATGGTAACACCATTACTGAACTGCTGAAAACATGATCAGTGAAAAATCTGCTGGACTGTTGGGTACTCACAGACTGAGAACTGCAGAAAACATCTCAGAGGGTCCCTCAGAGGAAACAACTGTAAATTGGTTTGGCAGCTACATATTGCTCTCAGTTCCACCTATTCCAAGTCACAGCTTCTCGGCAAGCAATTTGGCTTAAAAGGAACCTGCCAATATGTACATAAAGGAGCTGCCATTATTGACTTGTTTTAAAGGTGCAGGCTCAAAGTTTGTCATTTTTGCCTGTGCTGTACCACTTGGAGGACCACTTTACCAGAAACAAATATGTACTATCGGATATCATTATACTAGTAATTACTGGACAGGCAATAGGTATATGGAGTGACCACACCGGAGCCAGGGGTCAGTTCTAGACAACTTCCAGGATGTTCAACATGTTTCCAACCATATATTTCATAGGGGAAAGATATTTTCATTACAATTCAGTGAATGTAAGATAGCACTTCATCAGGATTCAAAATCATTCCTGGCTTTAGGTAGTCAATGATATGCCACTGTCAATGTCATTTAAGAAACTTGTAGTTCGTGGTGCTTCTCTGTGCTTAGGTTAGGCATAGACTAGCAATTTGTTACATTTCCTAATGCATTCACTGTGAGCAATTTTGAAGAAAAGCTTACCTTTAGGCTTTATGCACACTGGGCATTTAACCCCGATGGATGAGATCCTGGCTATTGCAAAAACTAGAATAATAACCCCCAGGGACCTTTTTCAGCAGAATAACAGAAATATGTCTTTTAAAAGACGATGTCAGTCTTTATTACAAACATATCATATTGTGTTTTCAATAAAATAGACCGACAGGTCAATAAAAACATGTAAAAGTTACATCCAATAGTGACATAGATAAAAAAAAATGTTGCTAGTGATACATGGTAAATGCACCCTAAAATGTACAAATACACCAACAATTGCAAATCATCAAACATGACTTGTTCACTTGGGGTGTGTTCTTGTGGTAAATCCTAACATGTTTCACAAAATGATTCCTTCTTCAGGGAGAAGACATGGGTACACCATTGAAGGAGGAAACCTTTTCATTTTAGGCTGCATTTACTATGTATTGCTAGCAAAATTGTTTTATCTATGTCACTATTGGATGTAGCAGTTACATGTTTTTATTGACTTGTCTGTCTATGTTATTGAAAACCTGATATGATGCATTTGTAATAAAGATTGACATTGTCTTTTGGATGACACAGTTCTGTTATTCTGCCAATAAAGGGGTTATTGTTCTAGTTTTTGCAATTATAACATTGGGATCTTGGCAGGACACTATACGAGAATATATCACTCAAGCCTGTCATTTTTGTTATTGAGATCCTGGCTATTAGGTGTGAGTGGAAGGCACAGGAGCACTGTCCAGTCCTGCTAATGGCATCCTGTTAAACTCTATGACAAGCTAAAAGCTTCTGTGGCTGGGCAGTGCACTGAGTATTAATGTACCCAGGGACAAATGCCAAGATCACAGACTGCTTGCTTCCTGGGCATTCATCCTTGGGCGCAGGGGTAGGACTAGAATGGAGCCTGCTGAAAGCTCTTTCTGGACAAACTGACAAGGTACAAGGTTGTTTTTATAGGTGATTTTCATGGCAGCTTGTTGGGTTAGGAGGTCTTTGAGGTGCTATGAAGAGATGAAATGGTTACAAAACAGTGGTGTCCATTTGGTGGTGTGGGGCTTCACATGTTGGTGTCAACTGTTTAACTGGGTTCAGTCCCTTGGAAAATCCTAAATAGTCAATTCTGGAGCTGTCTTCAAGGTGATAGGGTACAACTGGTTACAAGGGGAGATTTTAGTAAAGTCTTTTTTGGCTAGCAAACACCAAAGACTCCTTCTCATAACAACCAGTCATTATGTAGTTTATTTGGTCTTAGTTATTGTTACTGTAAATTGGAACTGATGTTTGTGTTGTGGTTAAATACAGGGCTGTTGTGGTCATATAACCCCATACCGAGCTGCATTGCTTTCAATTGGGCTGCCTATTCGCAGTTAATCAACGAAACTCCGGCTGGGGTTCTCGTAGCTAATCACGACCAGGGTGCATTCACACTTGTGAACTAAACTCTACCAATCAATATTAACTATTCTTACTCCTTCTTCTATGCTGCTAGCATTATTTGTTTTATTTGCTTGTTTTTTTATATTTTTTCAGTTGCTTCCTTATTTCTGGCCTTGGCCAAAATTATTTCATATATCCCAGGAGCCTTTATGGGCATTTTTTTTTCTTTCATGTTGAGTATGGGAGGAGGGACTTTCTCATCTAAGCACACCCTCCTGCCTGCATGCCTGGGCTAAGGGTAAATGGATTCCAGAAAGTCTATGCTACATGAATCATCTGCCTTTATTCAAGAAGACCATAGCTAGAAAAACA